TCCTTTGCACAGTATCACCTTAAAGCACTTGTTGCAGACTGCTGAGTTTGCATCTTTTGCTGTGAAGTACAGCCAGACTTTTGACCGCTTCGTCTTGGGCGTTTTTAATCTGTAGCTCTGCTGTAAAATAACATACCTACCTGGGCCCACCAAATATCCTTGGAAAGGTAAAATGATTGGCTAGAATCCAAAGTGTATGACATCTCAAGAAAAAAAAGCACCGAAATAAAGCACCGAAATGTGCGCTGCTTTTCGGTCTGATTACTACCGTTTATTCAGAACTGGTGCCATAATGGCACCGGATACCGGTACACATCCCTATTTGTGTATTAACTGTTTAGTTTCAAACCACTTTGATATTTGAAGGTATGCAGTGATGTGAAATGAAGTATTTGTACTTTGTTATTTGTCACCTCTACAACTGATTTAAATTAGATTAATTTTGGACAAAAAAAAAAATAATAATATGAATTATAAGCTTATGGGAATCAAAGAGCATAATACACCTGCCAGTGCCTTTCCCCCTCTAATAATTACATTTCAGTTAGATTAAAGACACAGATTTATCTCTCTTCAAATCTTTGCATGTGGACTGTGGTTGCTAGAAATATAAAAACTGTATTACAGAGTCGTTTTAAAAAATTGTTTGGGTTTAGGGCTGACAGAGTCTTTGTGTGTGTTTGTGGTTGACTGTGTGTGTTTAGATATAATGTTTTAAAGAATGGTTGTCCTTTTTTTTCAGAAGCTGAGGAGCTGTATCAGAAACGTATTTTAACAATAACTGGAATCTGCATTGCGCTCCTAGTCGTTGGAATCATGTGTGTGGTTGCCTACTGCAAAACCAAGTAATGTCATTAATGCCATTTTTTGTTTTTCATTGTATAATATGTAGGTACTGTCCCTGATTTTATTATAGTTTCATATTGTACCGCCAAACTCAGGGTGCAGTTTCTCTTTTGCAGTTGTGGTTGAATAATTGAATGCAAAATGTATAAAAAAGAGGGGGCATCAATAAAAGAAAGTATTCAGATCAAAGAATAAAAAAAGATGTTAAGATGAGATACTCTGAAGTATTTTAATTAGTAGATGCTTAATTGTACAATTTTAATTGTGCAGTAGACCTCCTTGGCTCAAACATTAGTATAGACTATTAGTTTTACAATTTTTATAATTGAAAATGTATGTTTGTTTAATATCCGATTGGAAGCATGATATGATGTGTCTTTTATTGTGATTTAGCTACAAAAGTCTGTTACATTCATCCATGGCACTTCTTCACACAGTGAAACCATTATAACATTTCTAAAGTTACCTATAAAGCTGGACATCATCCATAGATCCATGATCAGAGATACGGTAAAACCAAGTGGGCTGAGAGAATTTTGAGGAATTTGTGTTGCTAGTGGACAATACAACCATATTCATTGTACTGTTGTACAATGTTGTTATAAACATAAATTACTTTTGCTAGCATCAACTATGAATTACTTTTACTATCTTTTTGTTTATGTGGGACTGCCATCAGTTATGTATCCAAGTTGCGATCTGGGCTCTTTCACGATCTACTTTGTTTCTTTACAAACAGGAAGCAGAGAAAGAAACTGCGGGACCGTTTAAGGCAACGTCTAAGGAATAAGAGGAAGAATACCAGTACTGGTATTGACTCCAATGTGGCAAACTCTACCACTGGACGCCCAAATTCTAACTTTCCTCTTCAAGATTTGCAGCTTATTGGTGTATGCTGTTACTGTTATCAAATAAAAGGAATCACAATTTGAATCTGTAAATTCATAACAGTTGTCAGTGTGGTTTCTGCTTTCTGTTTATAGCAACATAATGGAAGGACAATGAAGCATACAGATGAAAAGGAGACAGAGACAAACTTTTCCACAAGCAAATATACCTTATCTGTGCATAATCCTACCACACTCACCAACATCTCCAGTCAAAGGTAAGAGAATGACTTTATATTTTCACTTCGGGTATTTGGTATTATTGAGTTACTATACTTGGTTACTACTTGGTTGGGGTCCAGGTAACACAAGAGGACACTATGTATAATGTAGTAATTGAATTTGTTGCCAGAGCAAATGATACTATGTAGGGTACGTGGGACACTGTTTAGCACATATGTGACTTTGGTGATTAGAACCATTAATCGCTTGAAATATACAGTGCACACTTTAAGAAAAGCTGTGGGGGAATTTGATTTCCCTGGTAGAATTGAGCTTTACTTTTAATCTGTGTGTCAAGTGTCAAATCAAGTTTTAGTTGAAATATAGTTGAAAATTGCCTTCCATTTTTAGATAGTGAAATAAATTAACTTGTGAAAAAACTAGTGAACAATAGATTTTGCTCTAAAAACAGCATTAACTACTAAAGTAATACTGATCATAGTCTTGAAATTACATAAAGCTAAAGCTTTATATTACTCTCACCCAGAGTGGCAAAAATACAGACATTCTGTACTTACTTAGAAGTACAGACCAAAAAAAAAAAAACTCCATTAAAACTTGAAGTACTAGGGGTGGCTGTAGCTCAGGAGGTAGAGCAGGTCACCTACTGATCGGAAGGTTGGTGGTTTGATCCCTGGCTCCAGTCTGCATGTCAAGTATCCTTGGGCAAGATCCTAACCCCAAGTTGCTCTGTGATGCGTCCATCAGAGTATGAATGTGTGTGATAGTAGTTAGAAAGCACTACGTATAGAGAAAGTGCTTGTGAGAATGGGTGTGATTGGGTGAGTGTGGCATGTTGTATACAGTGCTTTGAGTACTCCGGAAGAGTAGAAAAGTGCTATATAAGAATAAGTCCATTTAATAATTCAACTTCTTTACTCAAATAAAAGCGAAAAAGTACAGGCTCTGAAATATACTCCAATTAAGAAAGTAAAAAGTTGTTGCTTGTTGGAAGATGATTCAACCAGCAGTTTTTGTACAAAGTTAACTGAACCTGGCGCTATAGTAGCACAGCTTATACTTGAATTACTTTAGTAGAAGATGGAAATTGAAAAAGAAGGAAAAAAAAACCAAACTTTTTCTTGCCTCTAACCAGCAAAATGAGTATGGAAGGGATTAAAGTGGGATTCAGCACATGGAGGAACCCTAAAATCGAGGGGAGTGGACAGCCAATCACCTTCTCTGCAGTTTTGATGACCCTCTGTAGTCTCTTCTTGTCAGCTGTTGTGCAACCAGTGTACTACACAGGGATGGTGTGCACCACACAGGGATGGTGTGCACCAGCACACTCTCGATAGTGGCACGGTAGAAGGACACTAGGAGTTCAGTCTGCCTTATAGGCAAACTGGTGGGGGTCGAAGCTGGGTGGGAGGCACAGGCTTTGAGCACTCTACCAGGTATTCCGTCGGGCCCAGCAGCTTTCCTCTGATTTACTGCTCTGAACACATTGCGGACCTGATGTTGTTGGAGGTTAAATGTGTGGGGGCTGTGCTCAAAGGACGCTGTGCGCAGGGTGGTGTGCATGGTGGGGGTGACTGCAGTTTTCTCGAAGCGGGCAAAAAAGTAGTTAAGTTCCTCTGCTAACGAGATGTCCATATTATCTATATTTGTCCCATTGGCTTTGTAATTGGTGATGTGTTTCAGGCCCTCCCATACCTTCCTGGAGTTGTTATCAGAGAGGTGATCTGATAGCTTGTTTGAATAGTCCAGTTTTGCTGCTCTGATGCCTTTTTTAAGGTCTGCTCTTGCTCTGCTGTACATGTCCTGGTCCCCAGATTTGTATGCACAGTTGCGTACCTTTAACAGTGCCTGAACCTTGCTTGTCATCCATGGTTTACGGTTGGGGTAGACCCGGACCCACTTTTCCGTGGTGACGGTGTCCATGCAGTGTTTGATGTAACCCAGCACTGCGGTTCTGTGAGTCTCTAGGTCATCCTGTTCAAAGACACTCCACTCTTTGAGAGCAAAACAGTCCTGCAATTGAGCGAGAGCTTCCTCAGAAATGGTGTTAATGGTTCTGATGGTGGACTTTGTCCTTTTCCTGAGTGGTGTGTATGCCGGGACAACGAGTAGGGAGAGGTGGTCGGACATGCTCAGGTGGGGGAGGGGAACAGATCTGTAGACTTGCTTAATATTTGAGTAAACATGATCCAAGGTGTTATTTCCTCTCGTAGGGCATTTCACATGTTGTACAAATTTAGGCAGCACAGTTCTTAAGCATGCTCTGTTGAAATCCCCTGCAATGATGTGTACTCCCTCTGGGTATGTCCGTTGCTGTTTGGAGATCATGTCATGCAGGTATGCAAGGGCTGAGCTAGCATTAGCGTCCGGTGGTATGTAGACTGCTGTTATTAGCACTGCATGCAGTTCTCTGGGCAAGTAGAAAGGTCTGCACATGACAGACATTGCCTCTATGTCCGGGGAGCAGACTGTGGTGATGATCTTAGTGTTTGTGCACCAGTTGTTATGTATGTAAATGCACAAACCTCCTCCTCTGCTTTTCCCCGCTGTAGACTTTCTGTCGCTGCGGTGCATTGTGCGGCCTGCTAGCTGCACGGAGGTGTCGGGAATTCCCTCTTGTAGCCATGTCTCCGTGACGATTGGGACACAGCAGTCGCGGATGATTGGCTGTGCGGCGAGAAGTAGGTTCAGTTCGTCTATTTTGTTGACCACCGACTGTGCGTTGGTCAGGAAGATGCTCAGGAGCGGTGGTTTGAAAGGCTGCTTCTTTAGCCTGGCTAGCAGGCCCGACCGGCATCCCTGCTTTTGTTTGCGTTCCTTCCGCCGCCTGCGTTTCTTGGCAGAGCCAATAACAATCCACGGAGAACCCGATGTTCTGGCTATCTCTGGGGGGATGTTGTGCACCCTCTGATAATCACTGGTAATTGGGATCTGGCTCTTATATCCGATCTTGCATAATTCCAGATGGTTGTCGGAAAATTTGGCTTTACATAATAAGATAAACAAAAGAATAATAAAAACAGGAGAAACAAAAAGGAAAGGCACCTAAGTGGAGAGCATAGAGCTGCTGCGTCTGTGCGCGCCGCCATCTTAATTGAAGACAATAGGATTCTCTGAAAAAATAAGCACAAAATTGTATATATCCCACCCTGGATTCTACAATAAGGTCTGTTCCTCATGATGACCACATGATGGATTAGCTTCTGTAGAAGGTGGTAAGGAACATATTAAAGGCAGATCTGGTTACACTATGCAAATCCATTGCAAATTAATATTACTCATAATTCAAAAAGTTAATGTGACAGAAAAAAAACTAAAAGCAGATCTATAAAATGGTTTAGAAAAGTGTGTTGTGTTTCTGATTATTACAAACATGTTTTTGTTTACCTGTGTTATCAGAGACAATGGTTCTATGGCACATAAATTTAATAGTAATAATTGTGTAATTTCCATATTTCCTGTTCTATCAAAGGTACTTGAAAAGGTTATGGCAGTACAATTAACTGATAATTTAGAGACCAATCAACTGTTTCATCCAACACATTTTGGTTTTAGATGTTCCACAAAAAATGAAAACTGTTACTTTGCTGAGAATGTTATGTGCAATTTGGATGATGATAAAGTTGTGCCAGCAGTGTTTTTTGACCTAAACATGGCATTTGACAGGGGTGTCGAACTCCAGACCTTGAGGGCCGGTGTCCTGCAGGTTTTAGATGTGTCCTTGATCCAACACAGCTGATTTAAATGGCTAAATGACCTCCTCAACATGCCTTGCTGTTCTCCAGAGGCCTGGTAATAAACTCATCATGTGATTCAGGTGTGGTGGCCCAGGTGTAACGTGCGGTGGAGATTAAGCCAGCCGCGGAGGTGTGCAGGTGGATAGCGAATGAGCAACAGCTTCTGACTTTCCAAAAAGTACTCATTTATTTACAATATCAAAAATAAAAGTGCTACCTCTACCACACATTACTAAAGAGCACACTAGTCCG